GGGCAGCGGCAGGAGCGGGGCCGGGCAGAGCCGGTGAGGGACCGGCAGTTACGTGGTGGGGACAGCCTGGGGCAGAGCTCCCGGTTCTCAGTCCCCGCCTGGAACCTGTGGGCTTGGGCCCCACGCGGGGTGAATTATCATTGATTTACGGATTTTGGTGGAACGGAGCTTTCTCGTATCCGCAACGTTCTTGGCCCTCTGCTTTTAACCTTCGCTTTTCGATGAAGAATTTCCTGCTTGCAATGACCTCAGGCTGCTCCGAGCTGTGACGGGGACGAAACAGAGCAGCTGGATGCTTCTGCAGTGGGGTTTTGGTCTGCGGGCTCCCCCCAGAAGGGGCAGCTCTTCCTTAAGAGCGGAGCAGAGCCCGGGCGGTGTCTCTCACCGCCTGTGAAGTACCCCAGGCGAGGAGCAGCCCGTTGCCAGTGCAGACATGAGTGCACTATAATACGATGTTGGCAGGAGAACGGGAAGGAGTGAGCCAGCAAATGAGACCCTGCTGACCTGGGGTTGCTAGCTGTGCTTGGAATGGACCTCTTCTCTTAAAAAAAAAAAAAAAAAGCACTCTCAGATGATGATTATTATTTTACAAAAGATTATTATTTTACAAATGCTGCCAAATATTTAAGCATCTGAAAATGATTCACGTCTTTGACGGCGGCACGGCCCCGGTGCTGCTGGTCAGGCCCGGGGTGCAGCCGGGACCAGGCGACCCTCTTGGGGAGGCTGTGGGTCGGGGTCCGCTCGGACACCCGGGGGTGATGGGAGAGGTCACCCCCCTGCTGTGGGGGCGGTGACCCCCAAGGGAATGAGCATCCCTTGGTCAGGCGAACGAGAGGGGTGGGCGCAGGGCTGGTGGTGATGCTCCTGCAGCAGAGGGACCGCTCTGCTGCTCCCTCCTCCGGACCTGGATGAGCCCCTTTCAGTGTTCTGTGATTTTTCCCTCTAACCCTTGCGAGATGCTGTAAAGCTCTTTGCTCTCCACCCCTCACCATGACGTGAGCTCCTTCCCATTCCCAGCCCGGCTGGAGGAACACCCTTGTGAAACAGGGCCGGGTGTCTCGTGGGTGCCCCGTCTGCACCACCAGCGTGCGATGGCGTGGAGCAGCCTCCCTCCATCTCAGCAGCAGCCTTGGCACAGCAGCAGGTTGTCTTGTCTCCCTTCAGTCTGTTCTGTAGATCAGACAACCAGGTTTTCAGCCTCTTTGCACAGTGCTGGAGGTCCACATCCATCCTCCTCCCAGGGGTTCCTTCCAGCCGATCCCTGCCTTCCCAGAGCTGGGGGACGGACGGTCTTCTCCGGCCCTGCTTGCTGCATCGCTCCGCTGCCAGCTCTGCCGCATCCCCGCTCTGCGCAGCTGGTTCTTCCCGAGCTCCAGTCCTTGCCTTTGTTGTTATTGAATTCCGTCCTGCCTTTTTGGATCCTTCCTCCAGTTCTCTGAGAGCTTTTGGAATTTTTATCCCGCTCTCAAATGTATCTGCAGATCTTCCCAGCCTGCTCACATATGGGGATTTAATCATCGTACCATCTACTCCATCATCCAGCTCGTTAACCCACAGACTGAAACAGGCAGCCGCAGCGCAGACCCCTGTGCATTTTTACTGCAGAGTGTGGTTTATTGCATATCCCTGCGAAGCCAGAGGGAAACTCATGCCAATTTTTGCTGGCTCGGTAATGTGTTTTGGCCGATTGAAGAGACCAGTAGGACGATTGTAAAATATTTAATGAAGAAGTAGATTTTGAACATAGCACTGGAAAGCTGACAGCAAATCTAAATCACCCTCCGGTGCTGGGACGGAGACCTCTCCCCTAAGCTGGTGCAAGACAGAAAGTGCCTCGAGCGGATCAGAGGGCAGGGAGGGCTGGGGACGGTGTTGGGGCGACGCGCGGGGCCCCACGTGCTGGTACCTGAACAGGCAGTTGGTGAACTAGTTTAGAAGAGCACCAGCGTCATACGTGTAGCTCGTGCAGAAGCCCAGTGCTTAAGCCTGGACTTGCCCCGGTAAAGATGTCGTTCTGTCAATTTTTAAAGGAAATACTCCCTTAAAGTGTTTTCCACCAGCAGGTAAAGAAAATACCTCTGGAGGTGCAACGCAGTGACCTGACTGTGTGCCTGAAACAGGCTGCACCATGGTACTGCGTCCGGCTGCCTCAGCCACGCTTCATTCACCCCGGCTCAGCGCTGCATTGCCCGCATCGATCCTTCCCTCCGCGCCGCGCTGGCAGAGGCAGGATGCTCCCGCTGTCGGGGACTCGGGAACAGAGACTGTCGAGCCCCCGGGCTGCTGAGAGCACCCTGTTCCCTGATTTTTCCACGTGGGAAACTGCTTATAAAAATATATATACGTGGTATTTTAAGGGGCTGTCTCCAGCCAAGCGAGCTGTTTGCAGGTGTCCGGTGTGGACCTCACTGGAATGGGGTGGAATGGGAGGGGGGTTTGCTGGTTCTGCCGGGGATCGCCCCGTGGCGCTGCCGGCGCCCCAGAGCAGGAGCTCTCCCCCGCTGCTGGCCCTTGTTTCTGCGTCGCTGCTTTGGGTTAAAAAGGAATCTTGTTTCAAGTTAATTTAGACCTGTTCCCAATCACAACAAGCCGAAGTAATCTAATCTGCTGAGAAACCCTTGCCAGGCTCTTTGCCTTGCTGGAAACAAGTTTGTTTAAATCAACACTGAAAGCTAAACTAGTGACAATTTCTTGTGTGTTTGCGAAGTATCGTAGCAAAACCACTCAGAGCAGAGAGAGGCGGCCAGCAGCGTCCCTCGCGGCACCCGCAGCCTGGCTGCCTGCCACAGCAGCCTCCATGCCTCAGTTTTAATATCTTCTTTTTTCTAAAGACGTCCTGTCCAGCTCAGTTTGAGCACTGTTTGTAGCAGCAAACATGAGGGTGAGTGTGTTTTGCTGCTGACAATCTACTTTTTTCCTATTAGCAGGGCATTGACACAAGGGTTGCGCTCTCTGCGGAGACAGTTCTGGGGTCAGCGCGATGTAGGAGCGCAGGGACAGCATCTGTTTCTCAGCTATGAAATGTTTGTTCAAGGAAACCCTTCACCTTGAATGGTGAAAGCGGGATCCCAACTGAGGACTGAGCTGATGACCTGGTCACAAAGCTAAAATCCAGGGGATTATTCCCAGGGAAAATGACATTTCTGGCTTTCCGTCATGGGGACCGGGGCATCTCGGGGGGAAAAGGGGAAGGAGCAAGGCACTGGCCCGGCAGCTGCCCGGAGAAGCCGCTGCTGCCTTTGCCCCTTCGCCATCCCCGTAACCCGCCGTGCCCGGGGGCAGTGGGGCGGTCGCTCTGGGATCGGGCACCCACCCCGAAAAGCGGGTACCTGCACATGCCCACCCGCGCGCTGCCGCGGCTCTGGGGTGGATTGGAGAGCCGGGGTCCCATCAGCTGGAAATACTGATTGCTTCTTGTCGCGGTGGGACATTAATGAGCTCTTCGGTTCCTCCGTTAGCAACTGCCGGGGTGTTTGGGGCCGGTGGTGATGCTGCTGTGACCTCTCTCTTTCAGCCGGGGCTGGGGGCTGTGCCTGGATGACCCCCCTGCCCGGGAGGTGCTGGACTACCCCTTGGTGCCCCCGGGCGTCCTCTACGACGTGGGCCACCAGTGCCGGCTGCAGTACGGCCCCTACTCCACCTTCTGTGAGGACATGGATGTAAGCCCGGGTCCTCCCCAACGTAACGCGGGCTCGTGCGGCTCCAAAGGGCTCTCTGGGGGCAGAGGCGGGGGGGCTTTGCACGGGGCCGTCCTCTCCCTATGAGTTAAATTTGTGCCGGTGGGTTGTCCGGTGCAGTAACCGTGTCCTGTGCAACCGTGTTTTTTCTGCAGAGCGTCTGCAACACGTTGTGGTGCACGGTGGGGAACACGTGCCACTCCAAGCTGGACGCTGCCGTGGACGGCACGGCGTGCGGGGAGAACAAGGTAACGGGGAGCCGCCCTCACCGCGGCTGCGGGGACGGACGCCCTGTCCTGCACACAGAGGCATTTCACGGGCTCCGGCACACAGGGACGGGCTCACCTCACTGCCCTCCCTCTGGCCAAACACCCGCCGCTGCCGGGGAGGGACTGAC